AAAAATAAACAGTGCTATCTCTTTGTACATATAGCTCTGCCTCCTAACTAGTTCAGGATTTAATCTCCCAGAAACACTTGCAGAAAAGCTGAATTAAAGAGCAATTCAATATGTATTATTGAATGTTTCTCCCAAAAAAGTTGTAGAAATAACACTCTCATCAACAGTATATGAGGGGCTGGGGATGTGGCTCAAGCGGTAGCGCGCTCGCCTGGCATGCGTGTGGCCCGGGTTCGATCCTCAGCACCACATACCAACAAAGATGTTGTGTCCGCCGAGAACTAAAAAATAAATATTAAAAATTCTCTCTCTCTCTCTCCTCTCTCACTCTCTCTTAAAAAAAAAAAAACAGTATATGAGTTCTTAGTCTAGAAAGAGAACTAAAGGGGAAATCCACTGAATGGTTAGAAATGAAAAAGTAAGTGAAAAGGAAGAAATGAATATCTTTAAAAAAGCAACACTTTTGCTTTCTAATCCAATTGCCAAATCAATGGTAGACTGGAAGACACATTTTAAATGAATTAGAAATGAAAAAACTGACCTGTAGGTTCTGTACTAGAGGTTTTTGCTGGTATCTGATTTTCTGTTACCTTGTCTGGAAATGAGTGGGTATTTGAGACTACTTGTTTCTTGAGGGGAGTGTTCTGACTGTGAATTTCCTGCAAAAATCAAATAAAGAGGAATAGAGGAATATTTTATTTTTCAAAACTGTAATTTTATCTTTTATAAAGTGTAATTGTATATTTTTATAAAATCTTATAAAATTATTAAATGAAACAAGACTATTATTAAATATTATTCTATATGTTACCTCAGAATAAAAAAGACAATGTATATAAAAAGGTCCAGATTAGCTCAAGTCCTCAGTGCTAGTTTAAATTCTTGTTACTTCTCAGTATGTAAATCTTTTTTAGAGACTAAGAGGCAAGAGGGAATTACAATTTGAATCAGAGTTCAGTTTTACATTGAAATTAAAGTGCAAACCATGCAAAAGGATAAACAATTCCCACTATGTCACTTATCTCAATCCATACCTATAAAATCTGGTGGCAGTTCCTATATCAGGATTCCACTTAACAGYTACTCAAGAAGGTAAAATTCAGAGAAAGCAGAAAGGACAAAAACATATCACAAAGTAAAAGGAGAGAAGAAAAAAAAAATACCCTGCATCTGAGTCTTTTTATTCATGAACAAAGTCATAGAAGATAAATATTCATTTTTTGTTTGTTTGAAGACTTTCCAATTAAAGCAATAACAGAAATAACCAAATATTGCCTTGCCCGATTCTCCCAATAACCCTCRTAGCTATGTCCTATTATCTCCATTTTTTTTTTTTTTTTTGGTGCTGGGGATCGAACCTAGGGCCTTGGGCCTATTATCTCCATTTTATAAGTGAAAAAACCTTAGGCATATAAGAGTTAAGTAACTTTCACATACAGTGACTAGCAGTGCCAGTGCCCAAACTCAAGTATCATTGTTCAGAGCTACTTATATAGTTCAGAGCTACAATATAGTTCACAGCAGACTATATTTGTTCTGTATATTAGAAGTTTTGGATGCACAAAAACAAAGTAAATTCTCAAATATATATTGCAGACTGTTTTAACCACAGACAAGGAGTCTGACAAGGGGAAAACAGAGATAGGGCAAGAACATTTCAGAAGTGAGATGAATGGGCTGAGACTACCTTTAGAGTAAAAAGCTGTATATACAGTAAACACTCAAACATTTATGGAGTAAATGAATAAACCAACCACTATGGTAATAATGGAAAGCAACCATACTAATTCTCAAAGGCTTAAGTAAAAGCTTTAAAAACATAAAGCCAAACATAATCACTATACCCCTCTTCCCTTTATGGTGGCTCACTGCCTGACAATAAACACAGCACTTAGAGTGCAAGGTTCTGGGGTCAGATCTTGTTAGAAACCCTGGTGTCAGTACTTAACAGTGGAACCATTCTTGGACAAATGATTTACTTACCTCAACTTTAGTCCCTTACCCAGAAGAAGGAAAATAACTTCAATATTATTGTGAGGATTCAATGATACAATGTAATAAAGGTATCCAAACATCTGGCATCTTGTAGGCATTCAATAAATATTAACTATTGCAATAATCTTATCACCTTCATCTTCTTCTCTTCTTTATTAGTGTCACCTGTATACTGATCTGGACTTTGTTTACAAGTCAAACTCTGCCTGCATCACCCTCTTCAAAAACCTTTTAGCCTTTCCAAACGATCCTCTTTCATAGCAAACACTCTAAATCTTTATCTCCTTCACTAAATATTCCCTCCACTTTCATTCTAATAAAAAAAAAAAAAACAAAAAACTTATTCTCTGGTAAAAACAGGACTTAACCTACAACATCTGAAATAAAAGTAGTTCTCTCCCCTAAATCCTGACAACATTAGTTCTTAATGTTTCCATGACATTAACTCTTTTTTAAGTTTTTTTTTTAGGGGGTTGGGGGGATTGAACCCAGGAGTACTTTACCACTGAGCTACATCCCCCAATTCCTTTAATTGTTTTTATTTTGTGACAAGATCTTGCTAAGCTACTGAGACTGGCCTTGAACTTGAGTCACTGAGATTGCAGGTATGCACCACTGTGTCCAGCTTTAACCCTTTTAAAGCTCTTATTCTTTGAGACTAGCCATTTGGTTATAGTGTACTCTCCAGCCTCTCAATCCCAACTCATTAGTATCAGTTAATACAAGAATCTCTCCCCCCATTCTCCAACACATCTCTAGTTCAAAACCTGACATCATCAAGATGACATCAGAAGCCACAGGGCTATCCAAACAATAAATACCTCGGCCTCTCAACTGCATGAACACTTCAACTCCAGATACTTTTACTATTGCTCTAACGCCATCACCTGAAATCTATTTGTGCTTCTCTGAAATCCCAAACCCAAATATCTCACCATAACCACATCTCCAACCTCTCTAGTCCTCTTGCTTAGGAATTATAAGATCCCATTCTTTGGTGTCATAGATACCTCTGGTTATTTGATGCTTTTCTTCCTTTCATCTCTACCTAATTTCTTATACCTTCATCCAGGATAGATCTAATGACCCTTCATTGAAACTATTATCCTACCAGTATATTCAATTTCCTTAACTTAAGCATACTTCCATTCCTCTTGTCTGATAATATCCCAATCCTGGAACAACCCAACTTCTCTAAATCTCTATCCAGGCTCTTTTGACATATCTAGAGAAAATTCATCTATGGAGTTTGGTTCCACTATCAAGCTGGACGTAATGGCACATGCCTGTAATCCCAACGACTTTGGAGGCTGAGGCAGGAGGATCACAAGTTCAAAGCCAGCCAGCAACTTAGTGAGGCCCTGAGCAAATTAGCAAGACTGTTTCAAGATAATAAACAAAAAGGGTATGGATGTGATTCAGTGCTTAATCACCCTGGGTTCAATCCCTGGTAAAAAAATAAAATAAAATAAAATAATAAATAAATCTATGTTCTCACATCACATCTAAGTCTCAGCAGTACTCCCTATTTTTCGTTTCCCTGTTAGCCCTCTCTTCCACCATCCTGTAAGTACTACACCTATTACCTTTTTTTCCTGTACTTGATCTTAGCAAAAGGCTGGGAAGTGGTCACCTTCTTTTTCTTAACAAGGAACAAAATAGGCACTATCATACAGATAGTCCATCAGTTTTCTGCCATCATGATCCTAAGACCACCAGTACCTGGAGTTTCACTTCTTCTTTATGTATGTATGCATGTATGTATTTTTGTAATGCTGAGGATTGAACCCAGAACCTCAAACACGCTAGGCAAAAACTCTACCACTGAGCTATACCCTGCAGCCCCACCCATTTCCTTTTTATCACACAAGATTGTTCAAATTGGTTCTGTTCCCATCACTGTGCTCCAAGTTCATGCACMGTCACCTCTCTCCCTTCAATCTTCTTAACTTCTCTAACTTTTTGCTTGCTACTAGGTATTTTACATTGACACAAAAATTGACTTGAGTCTCAAAAAGCCAGAAAACAAACACAAACTGTACCTTGCTTCTTCCTCCCCTCCAGCACCAACTGCCTTCTCTCTCCCCTTTAGAACCAAACTGCTAAGAACTGCCTACACTCACTGGTTCTACTCTTCGCCTCCTCGGCTCTCCTCAATCCATTACTACGGCATTTTTCACCACTTCACCAAAACTGCTCCACACATCACAACAAACTTACTTCAAACCCCAGTAAATTTGATTCAACCCACACTTGACAATACTGACCATGCCTTCCCTCCCCAAGCTTTCCTTCTTCATTTGACTTTAACACTGTACTCAATTACATTTTCCTCCTATCTCTTTGCTGCTGCTTTTGTGGAAAGGAGAGCCCTGAACTCCGTATTACTATGTTCAGAATTTTGTTCACATATATGTGCCACTGTCTGGGGAGGAATTTCATAGGCTTAGTGGAATTATATAGTACAAAATAGTTAAGAGCCATTGCCCTATACTATGTTCAGAATTTTGTTCACATATATGTGCCACTGTCTGGGGAGGAATTTCATAGGCTTAATGGAATTATATAGTACAAAATAGTTAAGAGCCATTGCCCTATACTCTCCAAAGAATGGGAGGAAAACCAAGAGAATATACATAATGGCAGATCTTCAAAGAAAAGATAATCAAAAATGTCAAATGCCAATAGGTCAAGCCAGAAAAAAGTGGGGATTGAAAGTGATCACTGAAGATCACAAATGGGGAGGGGATAGTGGCAAGAGCCTAAGTGGAGAGACCTTAAGATAGGAGAGAAGAAAAAAACTGGAGACAGCACTCTGTGAATAGTTTACATCCAAAGGAGGCAAAATAGTGAGGAGCATAGAGGACCTGGAGAGGTGTTGTAAGATGCTGGTGGCAAGGATCAGCACATTCTTTCCTTCCTTCCTTCCAGTGCAAACTTATGGCACTCCTACTCTCTGTTACTCCTACTCCAGACAGAAAGAACAGGAAGATAAAGGTAGAGAGAGATCTGAAAAATTGGGTACATTTGAAAAACTGCAAATACTCTGTATGACATGGCTGAAGCACATCTCTGGAAGAGCAGGAGAAAGAGTCCAGCAAGAAGTGACACATTTCAAACCAAGCTGTTCACGCATTTTTCTCATGATACTTATGGGGAGCTTCCCCAAATTTTAAGTAAGGGAATACATGAATATTTGCCTTTAAACAATATTTCTCTGGCAGCCATGAGGAAGAAGGATTGGAGAGTGGCCAAATTAGAAACAGGGTGTCCAATACAAAGCTTATAACTGGACATATGTGTTTATGTGCATGTGCAATAAGGGCAAGCAGATGGGAAGGCACAAATAAAAAAGGGGAAGAAGCCAAAGATCTTCTAGATTTATTTTTTACATGTTGAAATATAGAATAAAACAATAAGAAGACAAAGACTACCAGGAAAAAATTTTGCAAAGAATTACCAGACAATCAAGCCTAGAGTTCAGGAGTGAGATAAGCACATAACAAAGCTGAGCTCATTAGCATTTTGGCCTTTGGCTGAATTTAGATGGGACAGGGACTTCCTTGGACAAATAAGAGGGGGAAAAGAGGTTGAGGTCAAAACTCTGGGAAGGTCACTTATTAAGCAAGAAAACTGATAAAAAAAAAAAAATCAAGCAGGTAGACCTTTCTCAAAGAATGCTGATTACATTTGTACTTTGTTTGTCCCTACTATGTTTCTACTAGCTCAAAATATATTCTAATACAATACCTTGTATGTAGTAGGCATGTAAATAAAATAGAACATAGTCTACATTTAAGTCAGATTTTGTTGAAGACTGAAATTTGATAAGAATAAAGAAAAATTTGGAAGGTATGTGTTAACAGAAAGAATTACAGATCATATAACTATGGTATTTTGAGAGAGGTAAATAGTCATCAATGACAAAAGTAGATTCTGGAAAACATTTTGGAACCAGCATCTCAGGAGAATTAACTATCTAAAATTGAATGGTGAAAATAATTTTTTATTTGATTTTTAAGGTCATCAGTGAATATGGTAAAGTTCCTCTGAAAGAGAAAATATCGTAAGTAAAGTTGTTATGTACATTTAAGCAGTTTATGAAAGGAAAGTGTCTAAGCGGTTTATGAAAAGAAGGTGTCACACTTAATTGAACAGGAAAGTGTGTAAAAAATTTAGTTCTACAATACAGAACTAGAAATTAGATACCAACACTACTTAGGTACCAAGTTAGCTTTTATCTTTTGTTTACAATACCTGCTTTGTTTCTAGTTGTKTGCTCCTCGAGTTTTCGCCTTTTTCTGCACTCCATAAGTTGCCCTTGTCAAATCGGCCACGAAGACATGCTAGTTCCTTTTCACGTTCCTAAACCCATCAAAAGTAGTATTTTACACAAGAGCCAGTTCAAAAATTTTAAAGTTCACATTGCAAATAGAATAGACAAAATTTCCAATTTGCGAAACGTGGCACAGAAGATCAAGATGCTATTTATCTCAGGTAAAAAGACTGGTATCAGAATTCACATCTTGATTTCTAGGTTCCATGCTGAGACCATGCAATAAAAAATGTTAAATCCAACAAGCCATACCTGCTTGAGCTGTTGTGCTAAATGGGTAGTAGATGAACATGCGTTTTGCTTAAATAATCTTTCTTGAATGGCCTTTGTATTTGGAGTGATAACGTAAGTTCTCTGGGGTGTACTATGAGAGGGACTTTCTTTGCTGTGTTCTTGACAACGCTCTCCAAAGCGTTCCAGAAAAGGCTTAATTCCTCTTCCTCCTACAGACAACATACACATTTTTGGAGGCTACTCAAAATAAGTCATAATTATAATTTCTATGGGAAAAGTTATAAATCCATTGTAGTTACAATATGCTTTGATTCTATTAGGAACCTAAATTCACAAAAAAAATTCACAGAATTACTATATAATTCTATTTAATTGCATGTTCTTAAATTAGAATTCAGTTCTTTAAAAGAGGAAAACAAAAACAAAAACCAAGAATTTTGGACTTGGGATATTACTCAGTAGAACACTAGCCTAGTACAAACAAGGCCCTGGGTTCCATTCCCAGCATCACAAGAGGAAAAAAAAAAAAATTAAGAAGGTAGAGTAAAAGGGCAGTGAGGATTAGAAAATTCTCAAATGAAACAAWAATAATTTAAGTGGTCAGAAGTAAACTACATATAAATTAATAAATCCCCCTTAAAAATAAGTGTCCTGACCATTATACCATAATAACCTCTAACTACTTACATTTCTAGAGTTCAATTTATTTTATATTTCTCTTACAAGTCTACTACATGAAAATCTGCAGTTCCCCCCCCAAACCAAAAGAAAAATTATGAATTATCCAACTCAACAAAGGGATGTCTTGATTTTACAAAGTCTTAAAAACAATACTTCTTTGAAAGAGTATGTTACATTTATAGTAGAGCAAATGATGTATATGTGACCTCCTCCATCATATAAAAATAAGCTTATTTATGTCAAAGTTTAGTAAATAATTTCCTATAAATCATCAAAGTAAATATTTAGATTTTGTAGCCCACATGACCTCTATTGCAACTATATAATTCTTCATTATAGCATGAAAGCAACCACAGGAAAATCTGTTAACAAAAGGATGTGGCATTGTTCCAAGAAAACTTTTTTTTTTTAAAAAAAAAAAGAGCAAAATTTGTCTGTTGTCATACTTTGAGGACTTCACCTGTCACTTATTACCACTTTATACCATATCTCAAACTAGAGTCCATTAYGAATACAAAGAAACATCTAAATTAAATATCTCTAAGGATCTGGTAATGTGATTCTGATTACACACAGTAATTAAGAATATAAAAAGAATGCTTCTTATCTAAGCCTGAAGATTTTAGGAAACTGGAATTAACTAGTCCTATTCCATGTGAAGATACTGCTTTCAATTCCTCTTTTTTGGGAGTATGGGGCTGCTAGGGATTGAACCCAGGATCCTGTACATGCTAGGCAAGCACTCTACCTTTGAGCTATCCCCTAACCCCTTATTTCTAATTTTCATTTTAGTCCATCTGGAAACTTGCTAATAATTTCTACCTACTCCATTCATTTTTCTGTCTACTTTCCCTTTAGGATAACTAGTTTCTGGGAAGATTTTATTTTTCAGATTAAAATAATCTTTCCAATGAAAAAAGAATATAGTTCAAAGTCAATACTATCACCATTTATTTGCGCCATATTGTTTAGTTGTGCATTTCTCAACCAACAATATGTGAATTGTGACAGAAGATATATGTTTATCATAATATAATAGAGCATTTCATGGAGTATCAGTCTACTATGGTAAGAAATACAAACTTCTATTTGCATGCTTTCACACACAGTACACACATATGTAAAGATAACTGAGAGTGATGTCATTTGTATGCACACTTACTTCTCTGATAGGGTGACTTCACAATGAAGGTTGAGAAGCACTGCTCTGCACACCTGGTTACAAGAATGTTTTTTCTTTTTGCCCCTAAAATGTGGTTCCCAGTTACATATGCTTTTCTGCATCCAAATTAGTTTTAAAAGTCCAAATTAATTTTAAAAGTATCTAACAGGATTATCCCAGGAAAAGCATGTTTAAACTGTTAAAATGTAACAAGACAAAAACTATGTCCAATTAATAGGCTAGTAATAAATATTCATTCAATCAATAAGAAGTCTTAGAATGTTTGGGCACTTGYCATGGCAAACCAACATCTTATCACTCACAATTGGAAATATTCAAAATGCTGAGAACATATCTTAAATATAGTCAGCAGCAACTTTAGATTTTTTTAAAAATACATAACCTGGTGTTGTAGATTTGTCTTTAGATTGAGACTGCAGACAAATTTCTGATTTTAGTTCTTCTTTGGATGGAACTGTCTGGGATAAAGTTGGCTTCACAATTGATTTCGATACCTCTGTTTTCAGAGGACTAACAGAAGTTTTTTGAAGTAGCTCAGGATTTTGTACCTCACAATTTTTAGCACTGGTGATAGATGTAGAATATTTCGCTGGGGAACAAGTAGATTTCTGAAACATGATAACACTTAAAGTAAACAATAACATTCACAATATTTATAGGTAGTCCTATAACAAAACAATTCAAATCCTATAGTAACTTCTATATAAGACTTACGAAAAAACTTCATGACCTCTGATGGTTCAAACTGGTTTGAAAAAAAAAAATCAACTTACAAAATGCTATTATTTAAATTATAATATGTAGCTTAGTCCACATATTATATTGATAGGTGACTCCCTACTTTATAATTTTTTTCATTATTGTTACTAGTATCTTCATTAAATTCTTAACTATAGTAGATAAAATTATAGTTTTAATCTGTATTTTGATTAAGCTAATCAATTCAGCCAAATACAGGTTGAGTATCTCTCTTCCAAAATGCTTGGGACAGAAGTGTTTCAAATTATGGACTTTTTCATATTTTGAAATATTTGTAATGAGGTATCTTGGCAGGTGTGACCCAAGTCTGAACATATATAGCTTAATGGCAGAGTGCTTGCCTAGCCCACATGAGGCCATGAGTTCAATTCCCAGGACCAAAAAAAAAAAAAAAATCATTTAAATTTCATATACACCTAAATACATACCCTGCAAATAATTTTATATGACATATTTAATAATTTTATGCCTAAAACAAGGTTTCTTGCTATGGAATTTTCCACTTGTGGTATCATGTCAGCCTTCAGAAAGTTTCAGAATTGGGAGCATTTCAGATTTCAGATTTTATGTTAGGAATGCTCAACCTATATGTACCTGATGGCTAACTATAAATAAATTATTCAATATTTATGATGCAGGGAGGCACTGTGCTAAGTGCTATGCATATTAACTTTTTCAGCCCTGCTAATACCCTYTTCCCCCATTTTACATATACAATAATAAGGCTTTATAAAATTAAATAATCTGTGCAAAGCCACACTTCTAATTATTTGGGAAAACTKCGACTGAGTACAAGTCGAATTCCAAAAATTCTACACTAAAAGATAGTGGTCAAGAACATGACACTCTGCTTCTTTCTCACTTTTTTTAACATGTTTTTTTTTTAAACTTTCAAGGTAATACACTTAAAGTAAAAAAGTTTCAGATATCTGAAAAGAACATACAATGAAAGTATCCCCCCAAAATAATACTATTTAGAAATTTGCCTTCCTGGAGGCAACTATAGCCACTAATTTATTATGTCTTTTAGAAATAGTCAATATCATCTAATTATTTGTATCTATATAGCATTCTAATGGAGGAATTAATTTTTAGAGCTTACCTTCCCTTTGATGACCAAGAGGCTCTGTCATATCATTATATACTTTGGATCTGCATTAACTAGTGTAATTTCAGTTGCAAAATGCTAATTTATCTTGGAATAGATTACCAAACTTATGATTTTCACTTTCTGTAAAACTAACATTCTAAAAAATATATAAATCATCATGCATATACTATAAAATAAATACCTACATTTATATATTATGATTACTAGTCATAACAAAAAAGATTTTTAAAGACCAAAATGGTATTAACTCACCAAAGAGCTGGAAATTGAGGCTGTAGCCAAAGACTCATCAGCAGCACTAGAGGATGGGGCTTTATTCAAAGAGGCATCCCCATCGCTTTGGGAACAGCATGTAGCTTCCTGCTTAACACTGCTGCTATTGATCCTAGCAGATGCTTCACTTGCAGAGGAAAATTTGGACAAACAAGCAGTACCAGGCTGTTCTTGTACACTGTTTTGCTTTGCAGATGAGTAACTTACATCATCTTCCCAGGAGCAAATTGTTGCAGCAAGATTGGCCAGACGGCCCCTTCTCCCAAGTGGGGTTGCTGAAGTATCTGAAAGGGGTGGTCTGGGAGGCGAGGCTGCCTTTTCCTCAGATGGCAATGATAAGAGTGAGCTTTCAGGTATATCATCTGAAGATATTTTCAAAAAAAGTTAAAACCATGTTTAAGAGTTATACTCATGTATAATAACAGGATCATTCCATACAGAATTTTTAAATGAGATTAATAGGTTTAAGAACCAGTAAAAGCTTTTGCATGCATAAAATACCAAGCTACTTAAATTTAACAATAGTTCTTCAAATCAAATGATACCTAATCTAAATTTAAAAAGAAAACACTGTTTAACACCAACTTTTTTCAATTTATTGATCTATTACAGATGCTAATATACCATCTATTTAGGTTATATTTTTGAAATTAATTAACGATATTATAACACCACACAATTTAAGATTAAATATCCCACAGGAACTTTTTGTTTTAAAAATAAATTAGTCCAGTGCCCTAGAACAGAATTTTCTGACAATGAAGTTCTGTATCTATGCTCTTCAATACAGTATCCCTACTCACTTGTAGCCAATAAGTACTTGAACTCAGAATCTAAATTTTACTTTAAATAATTTAAATATAAATAGTTATATACCTAAAGGCTACTATTTGGATAGCACAGAGTTAAAACAAATCAAATGTTTTCCTATAGTTAGTTCATTTGGAGATAAATCCCAAGTAGTGATGATTTAACTGATGAAGGATTTAGACCTATATGCATACAGAGTATGTACCCAGGGAGGCCAAAGGTCATGCACTTCCTATTCCACAAATTCAATCAAAGAAAGAGGTACCCCTCTTTCTGTTTAAGGCTTCTACCCCTGCCTGCAATTTCAATTCTTCTCCCTCTAAAACCTTCTAAGGGATCTTGCTCCAAACAACCCTCTTCCTCTCTACAAACTTTTTTCTCTGAATATTAAATATACTCAAGTTTCTTTCATCTTAAAAATTAGTATCTTCTTATCAACATCCACACTCTTAATTCCACTGTTAGGTATAATTACAACGTACCTATAAAAATTTTTAAATAAAAATTTAAAAATCATTTGTGTTCTTTAGCTACTATCTTCTTCCCTGTGCAATATTCAGTCACCATTAAAATCACCTGCCTACACCACTGCCCKGAAGTTGGTTTTGCTATTGAAACTATATGCCAGTACACACTAGCATTGTATTCTTGACATCTCTAAAACATAACACTGGTATTATGTTATGGAATTATGAAATGGAATGTCTTTTTCATTTAAGACATCATCTCAGCTGGGCACGGTGGCAATCACATGTAATCCCAGTGGCTCAGGAGACTAAGGCAGGAGGATCATGAGTTCAAAGCCAGCCTCAGTAATGGCGAGGCACTAAGCAACTCAGTGACACCCTGTCTCTAAATAAAACACAAAATAGGGCTCGGGATGTGGCTCAGTGGCCGAGAGCCTCTGAATTCAATCTCCAGTAACTATCCCCACCCCCMAAAAAAGACATCATCTCTATRAGCTTTCTGTCTCCATAGCCTATCCATCATTGTCTTCCAACTGCCAGTTACCTCCATTTGGCTTTCCCACAGGCATCTCAAATAACATATCTAAAGTAGAAATCAACCCCAGTAAAATCCCCTTCCTCTCAGCAAATGACCTCTCCAGCTGCTCAGTCATTGAAACCAGAAATATCACCTCTCCTCCATCTAGTCATTAATTCCTATAGATTTTACCTCCTAATCTCTCAAATCCACTTTCTCCTTTTCACTTCCATGAGCCTTCAACATTGTACACCTAGATTATGGTATTAGCTTTCTAACTCAACTTCCTGCTTTAAATCTCTGCCCTGCCCAATCTCTTCTCAATTTTGATACCAGAGTGATCTTTCTAAAACACCTGCCTGCTTTAAACTCTACTGGTACTCACCACCCCATCACCTCTAGTTAAACCCAACCAGGATCCTACTGCCTTTTTCAAATTTATCATTTGCTTTTCTACCACAGGAGTTGTGTACCACACACCAGCTCTTTACASAAAGTATATTCATACTATTTACTTCTGTGCTTTTTATATATTATTTTTTCCGCCTATATTATCTTATCTAAAACCAGCTGTCCTTCAAAGTCTGTTTACCAGCTTTTGATTCCTCCAGAAAAGGTTCCCTGACTACACTTTCCCTGATACCCTTTTACATACTTCTGTCATTTTCCTTAGAGTAAGCACTGCCTTTAAGCAGATGACAGTTTTATTATATTGTTTTAGAAATGGACTTAATATATCTCTGGTTCTTCTAATTAATCTCTATCAGAAAGGCTTCAGATAAATTACATTTTAGTATAAATCCTCAAATATTAACTGATTTATACCCACAGTCTTGTTTAGAATTTAATAAACTGTTTATTACAAATACTTGAGTCACAATTTTCATTTCTTTTTGGGGGGAGTATCAGTGATTGAACTCAGGGCACTCTCAACCACTGAGCCACATCGCTATTTTTATATATATTTTTTTAGAGACACAGTCTCACTGAGTTGCTTAGTGCCTCCCCATTGCTGAGGCTGGCTTTAAACTAGCAATCCTCCTGTCATTTCTTAAAAATCAGAGAAGATCTGATGCCTTAATGAGATTTACTGTCAAGACTGAGCTAGGCATTTGCTAATATTTGCTTTCAAAATGTTCAAAAAATCACTTATGCTCTCAAATTTATAGGACCCTGCTTTTTAATATTTTTTTTAGTTGTAGCTGGACACAATACCTTTATTTTATTGTTATGTGGTGCTGAGGATCAAACCCAGCGCCCTGTATATGCTAGGCGAGCGCTCTACTGCTGAGCCACAACCCCAGCCCCTCATTGTTTTTTGACCAAATATAAAACCACAACCTTTTGCTGTTGTTATTTTTTCTTTAATTAAGAAAAATATACACTTTGCTACCCATGAATATTTCCAATAAAACAATAATGGAATGTTATCTGTTCAGGCACATTTACTCATTAAACTCCTCAAGCTTTATAAAGAAACATGCTTATTAACCTTACCCACTGTCAAAATTAATAGGTAGATGACACCATAAACTATGTGAACTCTGTTATGTGCCCAAAAAGCATCAGAGAGGTGAAAGCAATTGAAAATAGGAGCATTAGGGCCAAATCTTTGGAGACTGAATTTTAGCTTGCCAACCATGGCCATGGTTCTTGGCCTCTCTGAACCTGGTTTTTTCTTCTATAAAATAAAGATAATAGTAGTTATATAAATAAGATTGTTTTAAGAATTACATACTATTAGAACAAAAAATGTTTACAATATATTTAAAAATATATTTATAATGCCTATCACATTAATGTCATAGGTGCTCTTGAGATTAAGATCATCACTGCCAGAACAGTAGTTGTAAAGTACCATCCAATAATTATCAAAATTCCAGTTAAAAGAATTCATTGTAATGGAAAAATGCCCAAAATATATGTAGTCCATCCATTTTTTCAGATCAMTTGATCTAATTCTGGCTATGTATCATAATTAAAGAACTTTTAAAAAAATAAAAAAGTATACTAGGGCTCTACCACACTTTTAAGATTTTAATCCAACAGTCTAAGTGATTCTGAGACGCGTGGACCAGCTTGAGAACCACAACTTGAAGTATGCTTCCTTAGATAAGAAAGCACTGAGTAGTCTACCCAGATGATTCTATTTACCAGCACAGTGCTATTATCTAATACTATGCTATCAATTTACAACAAACTATGTATCTGCACACAACTTCTCCCAGAACTGAGCTATTCCTGCACTGGCTACCTACCTGCACAGAGCTGTTTACCAGCACTTAAGCTGTCTACCTGCTTCTACCTGTACTCAGCAGTCTACCTGTACTATGCTGGCTCACAACTAAACTGTTTGGAGCCAGGACGTCTTCCTACCTTGAGAAGTTTTATAGGTTTACTTTAGGTATATCTTTACAAAGATGACACAAAGTCGTCTTTGATGACACATGGGAAAAAGTTCTGTCATGTGTTATGGCCAAAGAAGSTTCTGCTTTTTGTTTATAAACATTCGGTCACTGATAGTGTTTTATCTCTTTGCATTGGCTGCTAGCAAAAGGAGAACCTTAGGGCCTGTATGTAGTAAACTAACTTCATCTTTCACTTCTATGTTCTTCCTTTTCATATTTTCTGTCAACCCTGATTTCCTTATTTTTCTTGTTACAATACAATACAAGTATTTTCATAAGTCATCCCAAGTGTTTTGTTTGGAACAAGTCAGRAGACAAATAAAATTGATCACAGCTTGAATAACCCTTCTGTATAATTGTTGACTTATTTCTCAGGCATCTCATCTGATTATAGGTGCATGAAAGGCAAAAATTCCATCACTTCATCTCTTTTCTGCACCGTAGCATAAGAATTTGCTTTGCAGATGCTTAATTTTTTTTTGACATTTTTCTCTCTCCTACTAAAAAGTATTACATAGCTTGGTACTTGAAGTATATTTAATTAGTGAATCCATGAAATAAGACTTCTTAAATACAGAGCTAAGAGTTAGCACTGCTAACAATACCTAGTCTATAGTTTTTTCTCTACCAGTTTCACTGCAAATAGATGGTAATTCAGTTATACGCTCAACTTCTGTGAAATAGTCCAAGAACTTCTTCTGATCTACTTCAATAAGAACATAACCAATGTATACATATACTACAGGTATACAAACGACTTGCAAGCAAATGATACTCTTACGTATAGATTAAACAAAAGCACTTATCTATAATGTGTTCACAACTAATAAAAATTTCAAAATGCTAAGTTGAATATTATTGAAAGAGATTTATGGATCAGGCCAGCCATATAACTTCTACCTGTCATATCATTATCCCAATGTCGCCGCTGCTCTGCGAGTTTTTGCATTCGTGTTTTAACTGAGGAGCCTGAGGTTGTGTCCAATCTTGACTTCAGCCCTCTCCCCACGCCCAGCAATGATGCTGGAACAGCCACAGAATCATTGACAATAGCTGATGCTTGTGGCTGCACCTGAGGAGATACAGGACTTGGAGAACAAGGTTTTATAGTCGCTGACTCAACTGGTTGTTTATTTTCCACATCAGAAACTTCTGCTTCAGTGCTGTCAGAACAACGTTTTTTTGATGGTGATGGCTTTGTACAAGATTTCACTACATTAAAAAGAATAAATAAAAAAAGACACTCAAAAATCTGTAATTTCTTATAGCATAAAAAACTTGAAGTAGGTATTTATCATAAATGAATCATTATGTTTCTCTAATATTTCCATTGTTTTTAATTACAAGAAAAATATGAAAACTATTCAGTAACAGAAATATGATATGAAGGACTTTAAGTGATCATGTAATTTTGGTTTAAAATTTCTACTGAAAAGAAATTTATTCTTAAGATACAAGCATAATACTTGACATAGTTAATGGAAATAAAAAGTTCATACTTGCAGTGTTCTAGGATATTAAAGATCACCATAATCTAATCATTTCATTTTTAGAGAAGATAAATCAAGCACTTCTGGAGAAATTAAATTACCCAACTAAAGTTACACAGCTTAGATAAGGGTAAAAAACAGGTTTTCTGGTTTTTGAAACAATCTTTCATGGACATTTAACTGACAAGCAAGGGTAGAAGGGCTTGTCAGTTTTAGAAGGTTTAGGAAAAGCAGGGACCAAACAAGCAAATGAATTACATGGCCAATAMCAAACAAATTCTTAACATTTTACATTTTAAACTTCTATGAACACCCATAAAATAAAGTAAAAAGGCCCTAAAACAAAAAGGATGTATCTAAATATAAAGCATATTACTTCTATCCAGGAATGACTTTCAATATATCTCAGAAAAATTAATATTTTAAAAAGTAAAAATGTGAATTTCATATAAGGTGAGTTTCATTGGCTTTCTAACTTAAGTATTCTGTTCTGGTAGTGACCAAAGTACCATTATCAGGAAGTCATGACTGCCCTCATCAACACCAACTTAATCAAACAGTCATGATACATTCTGGTCTTTGGTAACTCATTTATGGAACTACCTTCTAGGAATTCATCTAACCATTTTTTTAAAAATGTGCTAACATGCAACACTGCCTGAAAATATAGAATTCTGCAAGTTTATAGTAAATATTTCAATTTGAGTATTAAAATGAAGTTCCAAACTAGTTTTCAAGTATATAGTACTCATTAGTATAAACTTGTGACACAGAAAAAAGGATCCTAGCTTGGGCCAGGTCCCTGTGTTTCTGACTGAATACCAAATAATATGTAACATATTTCCCTCCCTCTTTTCAGAATATAAAAATACATGAAAATAAATTATCCTTCTAAGGTTAGTTTCCAAAATAACTAAGCCAGGCCCATAGCCTCTTCTCTGCTTTTTTTGTAACATTGTTTTTCCCTTTGTAATGATCTGTATTTTAAAGTTGTACTAAGGAAGATTATCTCTAGACTTTTATGGAAAAGTCCATACTCCAGAAAAAAATTAAAACAGCTTGCTAATGCTATCTGAGTATGCAGAATTCAGTAAAGAATTGGTTAAGATTCCAGTTGAGTTTGGAATRGGATGCTTGTGTGTTCTACCATGTCTAGAGATTAACAATCTAAATTTCAACCCAGTCCTAAAGAGTTGGTTCAGCAAACACAAGATGAAAAAAGGTTCATTAAACCTCAAGCATTTGTAAGCAGTCTGCCTTTTGCTGCCTTGTTCATATGAGACACCATCTAGGAAAGGAGTGGTCAGCTACTCTGGGATTGTTGGGGTGAAAAATTCCACAGTACTCCCAGTATAAAGTGTTACTCTGCTCCTTTATTTTTCTTCCCTTGGGGTTTATAAGAATAACTGGAATTGAAGAAAACAAAGTTCAATTATTTTATTTGAAATATTTCTTAAACTCTGCTCCAGCCTAAAAGGTTTTAGGCCCTCAGAGGCATATTTGTTTCCAAAAGATCTTGATTCTTTTGCATGTATAATGAAATTCACATATTATATCTTTTAAAAAATGGAAATTTTATTTCCCCCCACTCGAAGTCTTTTACCTTCACCACCAGATAGGGGCTGCTGGTTACTTGCTTCTGAAAGTGGCTCTCGGGCTCGCTTAGCATGAGTGACAGACCTTGGTGCTGCTGTGGGCCTCTCAGCTATCTTTCTCTGAAGATTCTCTCTCCTAGCACGGGTTCGCTCAAGCAGTTTCTAAATATGTATTAGAGAATGTTAAAATACAAGGTTAGTCAAAGGTTCACAAAATTTCAGGTATCTTCCAAAATCACCAAATGGATAACAGTTAAATATATTTCAAAGGATAATTCCAAGTCATTAAGTCAAGATTTCACTAAATGAGCACCCCAATGTCAGAATGATTACAGATTAAATATGAATATTAAGGATCAATAGAATATGTGAAGATATAACATTTTAAATCCTTTCTGCTCAAATCAAAAGATATAATCTATTTTCTCACCCTTGTGATCTGCTTTGATCAATAAAATATGGCAGAAGTGATATTCTATGATTTCCCATCTTAGACCTCACGAAATCTTGCAGTTTCTGTTCTCCCTCCCTTAAAATACTGCCCCACATGAAAAAGCCCAGGTTAAGCCTGCTGGCAAAAACATGGTTTCCCTGACAGCCAGCATCAACCAGATCCCTAAGTAAGGTTATTGTAGACTATCTAGGCCCAGATAATTTGTCAGAACACTAACAAATCCTACATGACCCTGGGGAAGACCAGCAGAAGAACAGCCTAGCTGAGCACAATACAAACTGACCCACTGAATCATGAGATATAAACCAGCTGTGGTTTTAAGTCAACATGTTAGGCAGAATAATGGTTTCCCAAAGATGTTTATGTCCTAATCCTCTGATCTGTGAAGGTTACCTTAGAACAATAGTGACTTTGCTGATGTGATTAAGAATCTTCAGAGGGGGAGATTATCCTGGATTATTTGGATGGGCCCAAATGTAATCACAATGCCCCTTACAAGACAAAAGGAGGCAGGAAAATTGGAGTCAGGAAAAATTTGATAGAAAAATAGGTCAGAGTGGTGATTAGTAGCTTTGAAGTTGGAGAAAGAAGCCACAAGCCAAGGAAGGCAAGGGGTCTCTAGAAATTACAAAAAACAAGTAAATGGAATTTTCTCTAGAGCCTCCAGAACAAATTAAATCTTGGCCCCAAACACTTGATTTAAACTCAGTAAAATCCATTTCAGACTGTGATCTACAGAATTGAAACATAATAAATGTGTCATTTTAAGCCGCCAAATTTGTGGTACTGTGTTACAGCAGCAAAACTAATACAGTCACTAAGATAGAAAATCTTGGCAAGCAGCAAGAGATAGCTGACATATTAGTCCTTTCATAAGACACTTCCTAAGAGACAGGAAAAACAATACAATCTTATGTTTTATTTAATTAAACATCAACATATTATAAAATAGTTTTAAGTTCAAATGTTAGTCATCCTGTGAACTTGTAAATACTCTTTTCTTGCTTTGAATTACCTGATATTTTTATCTGAATCAGTGTGATGTAAAACAATTTATTCTCTTTCAAATAGACACAACTAAAGAAGAGATGCAGATTCTTACAGCCTGCACAAACAGACATAGCAGCAGTTAGTGCAAGCTGGAGAATTAAATCTTTTTAATTCCTTAATTAAAACAGAATAACAATTTTTAAGAAATCCTCTGAGCATGCAAAAGGAGGGAGAGCTGTTTGGGGAAGAAGGCACAACTCTCTACTCTTCTTAGGAATGATTCTCATTTAAAATCAATTGAAAGAAGTGACACTAATCAAAATGTGTCACTGAAAGCCATTTATTAGCCAAATGCCTTCCAAAACACAAGACCTTTACCCTCTAAATAAAAGTCTCCTTGATAAACATAAAAGTGATCATAATGTTACACAAATTCATAAATGTCTAATAGTTTTCAAGATAAAATATGTCACTCTGTAGACACAAAACTAGCCTATTTATTCCAAGATGTGTCCATATTCCATTTTCATCAGTTAGAATACTTATGAGTCAGTACAGCTTCAGTTACCATGAGGAATGGGTCACAACAAAAGAATGTGGTTTTGCATTCAAACACACACAAGTGTTCTATTGTTTGCATTACATTCAAAATTCCCAGATTAAAAAAAAATTATAGCAGATAAGGAAAAAAAATCCCTAAGCTATAAAATAAAGCTAGTAAACCTCAAAGTTTATTAATTTAAAAGAAATTGTATATCTAAAGTACATAAACTAAACTGCTCAATAAAGTATAGGTAGCCCTCCATCATAATATTGTATTAAGAATTTAAAGATTATGAGGCTGGAGCTGGGGCTCAGTGATAGAGCACTCGCCTAGCACCGGTGAGGCACTGGGTTCTATCCTCAGTATCACATAAAAACAAACAAATAAAGTAAAGGTATTGTGTCCAATTACAACTAATATATATATATATATATTAAAAATAATTTAAATATTCTTTAAACATAATATTCTCAAAAAGTAGAGGGATTTTTAAAAACACACTGCAATAACTAACATAATTTGGAAATAAGATTTTCCTCATGAATGAATCTCGGATAACAGAAACTTGTATCCCTAAATTTCTAACTTAAATTTTTCTAGAAGATATTACTGATTTCCCTCCCTTCTTAAACAGAGTAGACTCAATATAAATTAACTTCTTATTATTTTCAATGTGCTCTAGCAGATTTTCTCCTAGGCCAACACAGAGACTTTCATTTAATTCTGGAAAACAGAAAATCTCCTTTCAAAATGGTAGCAGTATTTTGTTTGTTCATTTATACTAAGCCATGCATGCATAGAAAAATATAAAGTATCTTACGATAAATGATAATCTTTACAAAGTATTTTATTTATTTATTTCTAAGAGATAGGGGCTTCCTATATTGCCCACGTGGGCCCCTAACTCCCAGACTCTGGTTTTCCTGCCTCAGCCTCTTGGGTAACTGAGACTATAAGCACACACTACCATGCTTGGCCAAATAATTTTAATTATAACCTTTTTCTTTTTAAAGTTCCAACAAAAAAGCTGTTAGTTGTCATACAAAGCTCTGGGTTTACTATACTTTGACCAGTTACTATTACTCTTGATCAGACTTCAAACAAAAAGGCTATATCAATATTCTCAATAGTTCACCTATGGCTTTAAATTCACCCAATAAATACAACAATCACTAACAATTATACTAAACTTAATATAAAACACTTTCAGTATCTAGCACACACTAATTCATTTCACTTTCAAAACTTTATTTGGTGGTTCTCTTTCCACTACTGTTTTTCAGATGAGAAACTGGGACACAAGTAACAGGATATGTCACACAGCTAAGTAGCAACAAAGCATACAATGCGCATGTACAAATATGTAACAAATCCCATCAATATGTACAACTATAATGGACCAATAAAGAATGTGGAAAAACAACAACAAAGGAGCAACAGGCAGGATTCAAAATCCAGATCTGAGTCTGAGCTCTTAACCATTTTGCCATTAATTGTCTTAAATAAATTACTTACTCTTTTTAAGAATTTGTCAGCAGAATTAATTTCATATCATTATTTTTTTATTAATTTCATATAATTATTTTCTTTATTTATGGTTGGTCCATGAAGAAAAACATTAGAAGATATTGCCCTGTGGATCATCTAGATCTTGATTCAAAGAAATAAGGTACAAAAATTTATGAGCACATGAGGGCTGGGGCTGGGACTCAGTGGTAGCGTGCTGCCTAACACATGCAAGGCCCTGGGTTCGATCCTCAGCATCACATAAAAGTAAATTAAAAAATAAAGGTTTAAAAAATATGTGTATATATAAACATCTGAAATATGAACAGTCACAGAATACTTGATATATGAAAGATTAATGCCAATTTTTCAAGTCTGACAATAACATTGTTATTATGTTTTTTAAGAGTCCTTTTTCAATATTTAGTGATAAATATTGAAGAATATGTATATGAAACTATATGATATCTAGATTTGCTTCGAAATAATTTGTGAGGTAGGTGAGAGAGAGTTACAGTGAAACAAAATAGCAACAGGTGGATAACTGCAAAGAACAGATAATGAGTGAATGAAGGGTTATTATACTATTCTACTGATTTTGAAATTTTCTTCAATATAGAGGAACATTGCCAAAATGTTCTCATAGGTTTGTAAAATAATTTGCACTCGGTGCCTGTCTGCTATGTTAATTCAGCAAAATGGTATTATATGTGTTTGACACTGGGGGAAATGCCTCAGAATAGAAATAGCCTCTACCTTCATGAAGCTCAAGCTCTGGCAGGAAACTAGTTCAACAAGTAAAGCACTGAAGAGGCAAATGCAAGGGAGATGAATACTGTTTCTGTGAAAGGTTATTCACCTCTGAAGAAGGGAGATCAAACTGAGGGCTGAAGGTCAACTCAGAATTTACCAGGCAGAAAGGGCAGGGAAAATGAGTGTGTAGGTCCAAGTGGCAGCAGGGAGAACTAATACAGAACAGTCTTGCTTCAGGAAGAGTTTAGAATGAGTCTAGCCTTTCCCATTAAGAGTTACCAAGAGGACTGGGATTGTAGCTCAGTGGCAGAGTGCTTGCCTCGCATGGGTGAGGCATTGGGTTAGATCCTCAGCAGCACATAAAAATAAATAAATAAAATAAAGAGATTGTATTCATCTACAACTAAAAAAAATAAAAACAAACTAAAAAGAGTTACCAAGAGAATGAGGCCTTAATGCCCTGGCATTCATGTAACCAGACCTCTGCTTARATGTAGGATGGCATTGGTTATGAATCACCCTTGGGAGAACTGAGAAAGTGGTCTCTGGAATAGTTTTTTGTGTTCTGCGGTTTTAAGAAGGAACCTGTTTGGGAAAGTCACTTTATACTTACTTTCAATCCTTTCAGACAAGGAACTGTAGTTCATGTCATTGTGAAAAAATGTTATGAATGCTATTATTAAGCACCTAACAGTTGGAAGCAATTCAAATGGTTCACTCATAACCAATTAAGGAAAAGATGTCAAAACTGTTATTCCAACTGCAACTTTTCATAATACAAACTATATACATTAAACCAAACATATTTCTAAACACATTCTAAGATTATCTAAACAAGAATTTTCTTTTAACTAAGATTTGTACTAGTTTTATTTTACTTTTAAATTAAATAAAGTCGAAATTTTCAGAAAACCTTCAAAATGCTTCTAGTTACTAAGGAGAACACACACTGTTGTTTTAAGGACTTCTAGTCTCATTATAACATAAAATAACGTATCCTTTTTTTTACTTCAATTTTAGTGACAAATATTTATTGCATGGCCAGCCCTATTCTTTAAACTAATTTTTTTTAAAAATCCTGGATTTTTCTATTAGAATCTTTAAACAAACTGATATTTTGTATCCCAAGATGACTAAATATGTGAAACACAGAAAGATGGCTTTGTGAATACAAGTAAACTCTAACTGTTGAGATCTTTAGTATCTTAGCGTTAAGGAATTGTAACTACATCTCCCCCAAAAAAATGTATTACTACTTTCCATTGAATTTTTCAATTTAGTGTACAAAACGTTTTTAGGCTCACTTTGTAACAACTCAAAACATGACAGTTTGAAACTTGCACAACAGCCTCGTGAAAGAAAAAGAGGAACTGTGCTGGAATAAAAAGGGAGTGGACGAACCAGCAACACGAAACTTCCGAATGTGTCAACGTACACTCTCAACATGAAGCTAAAACTAGAATGTCAAGAGCTATGTAATGTTTTGAACAACTAATAAAAAAATAAATAAATAAATAAATAAAATAATTTATATGCTAAAAAAAAAAACTACAATTCCCGGTATGAAACTTTGCAAGTTAGCAGAGCAACGGAGTTGACGCTGGGAATGAGTACAAAGGTTCCAGCACCAGCTTATTTGACAGGTTTTGCTGTCGTTAACAGCATCCTTAAATGCACACACCCCACCCTGTGAAACCTCATCAGCGGGCCGCGAGAACCCCGCAAACGACATCCCATTTGATTTCCCGGCAGTGGTTGCACACACACAGCTGAGTCACTGGGCACCAAACTCCACCCTACAAATGATTCCAACTTTTTCCAGCAGGACTTGTTCCGTCAGGTCCCAAGCCTCACTCTTTGGGGAAAGGAGGGAATGGACAGGGAGGATTCCAAAGGGGTATTGCTGTAACCGGGAACGCCAGGAATTTTCTCACTGCCATCTTTTATGAACAGAGTCAAAGCTTTACTCCCAGAGTTTCTTCTACATGGAACAAACAACAATAAATCGYTAACAAACGCACCTGAGACCCCCGGGGCAGAAAAGAGCGCACCTGAGACCCCCGGGTCGCTGGCCCAGCCCACCCGGCACCGAACCCCACACGCTAGCTCTCACTGCGCACGCGCGCACGCACGCGCGCGCCCCRCCGGTGGGCTCAAAGGTTGACAGAGGGGAGGGTGGGGGACGACAGGGGTCATGACTGGCTGCSCCCGCAAATTTTCTCACCTCGGTAAAGGGGTCCATCGCCCCAGGCTTCGCGTGTGGACTACGAGACAATGGAAACGGTGGTTCAAATTCAGGAAAAGAAAAGTGAGTCTGGGCTCAGTGTGTCTCCTGGAGAAAACAAGGAGTCAGGCACAGGAATTCTCCCACAACCAACTCTCCTCTTCCCTCAGCTCCCAGTGTCAGACTCTACCTCCTTCGGCCGTTCAAATTTGAATTTCAGCGCCCGGAGCGGCGCGCGTGCGCGCTGGTCGGGGCGGGGCGGGGCGCATCTCTCCCCTCCCCCGGCGTTTGATCACGTGGTGCAGTGAGCAAGCCGAGGTTCCCAKGGGAGGTCTTGGCTCTCAACCGCTTAGGTGGGGCTGCTCCCTCGCTTCAACTGCTTCCCGGCTTAGGCCAGGAAGTCCCCTAAGGCTCACATACCCAACCCTGTTAAACCGATCCCTTCCCACCCGGCATTCGGGCATTCCCGCCTTCCTTCATTCCTAAATAAAGGATTAAGCGCCCTCGTCTTTGAGGTCCCTGGGTTGGCCCTCTATAGCTTTCTCTCCGCTTGCCACCCCAATCCCTGCTGSAGGTTTGCCCTCGGAAGAGGCAGGTCTGGTAGGTTCTTGCACTCTTGGGTCCAGTGATAAACCCTTTCACATAGGGAAAACGAGTCTAAAATTAACGCACTGTGTTTAAGAATTGGTATGCAAAACGCGTCCTACTATTTTAAATTCCATCCAACGGTACAGAATTTTGGAGTTGGGAGAATTTTGAGCAGCTCTCCAGTTCCGTCCTTACTATTATCTGAGAGTAAGGGATCCAAAGACATTAATTCATCCAAGAGAAATGAAAATCCCATTATCAGCTCATGAACCGCTTTTCACTCTAAATCTCGGATGTGTTATTTATGCAGATCTAGATATGTTGCTGCATTAGATTCACTTCTTGTGTGGCAAGTCTGTSCTAGGGTTTGTGAAGTCATTCTCGACTTGTTCATCTGAAAAGTAACGCCCACGTAGATTAGATGACTGTCCAACAACTGAACAAAACAAATTATTCATCTCAAATAAGATCTTTTAGCATATTTAATAAAGCTTCCATCCSAACGCTTGGTCAGCATGACTTAAAAAAAAATACGTAAACAGTAACATCTTTAATGTGCATTTTTTTATTAGTTCTTCAAAACATTACAAAGTTCTTGACATATCATATTTCATACATTTGATTCAAGCGGATTATGAACTCCCATTTTTACCCAATATACATAATGCAGGTTCACATCGGTTACTCATGCACTTTTTTACCTACTGTCATACTAGTGTATGTTGTATTCTGCTGCCTTTCCTAACCTCTACTATCCCCCCTCCCCTCCCCTTCCCTCCCCTCCCATCCCCTCCCTTACCCTTCCTTCCCGTCTTCTCTCCCTACCCCATCTACTGTAATTCTTAATGCTGTAGACTGTAATGGACCAAATTTTCAGAGTGGRGTATGCGAGAAATTACTTGGGGGTTGGGCTCCAACAGAACTGTGACTTTAGGCTTTAAGCAAATCATTTAATGTGTCTTTTTACCTTTTGAAGGAATAATGGATTTCTTTGGAAATACAATTAAAGTTGACTATCTAGAAAAACACCCTTTCCCATCATACACTATTTTACATAAAATTTCATGAAGCACAGGTACACTGAGTTAAAAACCTGATTAAACCACTTTCTATTTTAGTTTACTCCAATATGTAACAAGAATAAACAATCGCCCTGCCTTCCTCGGAGCGTTAGAAGCAGCAGATGAAAATAAATCCAGAAGCATTCTTTAATACTACTATTCAAGTATTATACAATATTATTCTAGTGTTACAGAATACTAATATTCTAGCACATAGTAGTATTCTGAAATATTCCTACTACAATAATTTCCGTACACACACTTGAAGTGTGTGGCATATGAATTTGTATTTAACTCAAAACATACTACTTATGAATCAAAGGGGAAAGATGTTTGAATTTTTTTTTTTTTTTTGAGTTAACTAGACTGGATAAGGGTGTGAGCATTTGGGATGGGCTGTGTTTGTATATGACAACACTGGGAATGAGTCATTAGAAATTTATGTAGCCGTTGTGCCCTCTGGCTATAGCCTCTGTGAGCCTTAATTTCTTTGAAAATTACTTCAACTAGGTTCCCTTAAGACTAAAAGATAAATCACCTAGCACAAATTAGCTACTCTAAACATTGAGATTATCTTTCCTCACAATCCCGGTATACTGTTGGTCTTTACCTTGATGTTGATGGTACTAATAGCAGTCACCACAATAGTCCTACTTGCTAAATGCCGGCTGTGTGCCACAAAGCCCACGCCCCTACAGTACTGCAGTTGACTGCTAACTGAATGATTTTTCTCTTTTTAAAAAGTGTGTGATGACCAGGCATTATACTCACATAGTGGTTTATGTGAGTAATCCCAGCCACTTGGGCTGAGATAGGATGATGGTGCCTTTGAAGCCAGCTGGGCAACATAGTGAGACCTCCAACTCAAAAAGAATTGTTATGAAATATTTCTAGTTTACAAGATAGAAAATGGTGAATAATAAAATACAGCCAATACCCCTAGATTWAAAAAAAAAATCCCATATAGAAGTGAAGTCTCCAGTATGGCCCTCCCTAATCCTATTCACCTTCCCATTCCCCAGTGCTAAAACTGTCTAGATTCTGATGTTTATCCCTATAAAAGTATGTCTACTTTTATTATTATATCTACATATATAAATATCACTGAAAGTGTTTTATATAAATTTTATCTTCATTGTTCATATCCTTTTGCAGTTTTTGGCTGAACATTATCATTTTGAGATGCATTGTCACTAATAGCTAAAGTTGCAKTTCATTCATTTTTTTTACTACTGTATTTATTATATAAAAGTACTTGCAATTTATACAATATCCATTATCTTCTCAATAGATATTCAGCTTGTTTCCAATTTGTTGTCCTAAAGGTCCCATGATGCCAGTGCATACACATGCCAAACTTTCTTTAGATTAATATACCTAAGATTTAGTAGATAATTTCAACAAATATTTTTCAATATGATAACCAGATATGGAAAATAAATTGTTCTTGAAAATGGTTGCAACAATTTATACCACAGTTGGTAGTGCATGAACATGGCTATTACTCCTATTCCTCCCAGTAATGGATTTTGTCATTCCTATCTGTGTGCATTTCTCTTATTACTAGTGGAGGCAAATTTGTGTTTATTGGCCTTTCAATTTTTCTTTTTTGTGATCATCAAATTTATATCCATTGCCCATTTTTCTGTGTGTTTTTTTCCTTATTGACTTGTAGACTTTTTTGTTAATTTGCTTACAATTTTCTTGAAAAATAAACACTTTCTTGGTTTTGTGGCTTGCAAATATCTGTTCTTCTTTTGTGGCTAGATTTTCACATTATATTTTAACTCTACAGAAATGTTTAATGTTAATTTATCAGACATTTTTTCTTTAGGTTTTGTGTATTTTATACCTCAAGAATTTCTTTCCTGAGCCGGGCACAGAGGTGCACACCTGTAATCCCAGAAGCACAGGCAGTTGAGGCAGAAAAATCACAAGTTCAAAGCCAGCCTCAGCAGCTTAGCAAGGCCCTAAACAATTCAGTGACACCATATCTCTAAATAAAATATTAAAAAGGGCTGGGGATGTGATTCAGTGATTAAGTACCCCAGGGTTCAGTCCCTGGTACCCCAAATAATAATAATAATAATAATAATAATAATAATAATAATAATAATAATTTCTTTCCTACCCTGAATTCATAAAAAATTCTCCTCTGTATTATCTTTTTTTTATGGTACTGAGGATTGAACTGAGAGGAGCTTTACCACATTCCCAGTCCTTTTTATATGTTGTTTTGAGGCAGGTTCTTGTTTAAGTTGCTTAGACCTGGATAAATTGCTGGCCTCCAATTTGCAATCCTCTTGCCTCAGCCTCTCATGTTGCTGGGATTACAGGCATTCCACTGCACCTGTTTTCTTCTAAATATTTTAAATTATAGATTTTCATGGTTTTCTCTTAAGCTACCTGATTTATTTTGTATTTTATGTGGATAATCAGTTGTCTTAGTAGCAGTTTATAAATTGTCCATTATTTTCCTCTGACCTGTTATGCTACTTTTACCACATGTTAAAACTTTTAGGGAGCTCAGTAAAAGAGTATGTGCTTGGCATGTACAAGTCCTTGGATTCAATCCCCATCACACACACGCACACAAAAAAGTTCATGCACATGCAGATTTATGATGTTGGAGCTCTTCATTCTTTTCTACTGGTGCATTTATCTATATCTTAGCCATGCTGTCTTGATTGTAAATGTTGATTTGTAGTAGAGCAAATCCAAAACTGATTTAAGTTTATTGTGTCCCTTGTTCTTCCACCTGAATACAGGATCAGACTCTCAAACTCCATAAAGAAACATTTTTTAAAAAAACTCCCTTTCAAATTTTTAAATTATACTTGCACTGAATGTATCACATAATAAGGAAAGAATTAACATCTTGTGATATTAAATCTTCATATTTATGAGTGTTATATATCTTTTTTTAAAAATACCTTTATTTTAATTATTTATTTTTATGTGGTTCTGAGGATTGAACCCAGTGCCTCACACATGCCAGACAAGCACTTTACCACTGAGCTACAACCCTAGCCCGAGCATTGTATGTCTTTATCAATTTAGTCCTACTTTAATGTCTTACAAAAATGTTTATCCATACTTCTATAAGGATCTTTAAACCCTTGTTATATTTGTTCCTATATATTTTTGTCATTGTTGTTGCCTTTATAATCTGTATTTTTATTTATTTATTTATTT